TTGGCAACTTTCAACTCGAGAACCAGAAAAGCTAGAAAGCTGAAACTTTGAGAGTATGTGCCCATACGATGCGCGACCCTCCCGTTTTAATTTCATCACCGTTGGAAGCCTGAGTGCCGCGTACAGGAGCAACTTTGGATTGTCCTTTTGCATATGCTGAACACAAACACCTCATTCCAAACGCAGTCATTCCCAGGGCCATAACAGGGGGCATTTTATCGCAAAAAAAGTAAATAAAGAAGAAAATCGTTTTCAAAAAGTATTGCTTCTCAGAGACGAAAATGTCGAAAAATTTTGAAAAAATTTACGGTTTGAGAGTCGCGCCCGATGTAGACGGCTGAGACACGATGAAGAGGTCATCGTCATCTCGCCTTTTCTTCAGTGCGGGAGCAAAAGCGGTTCTCAAATCATCCAGCGGTTCTTCAGCACCTTCTGGAAAAACAACACCGCAAACACTTGTTCCCCTCATATCTCACACACATATCTTACGTACGTTCCCCTCACATTTTTGCACGTTTGATCAACGTTAGCAGAGAAAATTTATATAATTTTCACTCAAAAATAATGCTCATAACTGTTGTAACAGTAACTTTATTAGCTACAGCTTATGTCCAGTTTCCGAAGGTATAAATGTGGATTTCTTTGAATGCAATGTACTCATTCAAGTAATCTCTAGCGCTGCACGGCAAAAACGCATAACTAGCACCAAGAATTTCCGAAAAAAAAAAAGCTTTATATACCAATCTGTGAGCTGGCTAATTGTTGCAAGGCGCGCTTTTGAGCTTTCGTCATCGTTAGCTCTTCAACGTAACGCTTCACTTGCCGATCGCGCTAAAAAAAATCTGTTATTTTAAGAAAAATGATAAAAAAAAATCATTATTTTTAATGAAATGAAAATCACAGCTCAACTAAAATGAGCCACAACATCGTTCAAAAATCCTACAGAAGAATTTTGAATCCCTAATAACGATTTATTGGAAAAAAAAGAGACCTTTTAGGCTTACCAAAAAAAAAAAATTGTTCAAAAGTCCTGCGGGTAGATCCCCGATAACGATACATTAGACAAAAGGTACCTCTCAGACTTGTCTTAGGCCCAGTTATAACACATTCTTTTGCACACTGAATTAACTGGCTACAAATCACACATACGGAAATTTTGATTCTGATCTTTGATTTCTTAAGTTTTGAGTTTTTTTTGGGAGGAAAATTACCAATAATTTCCTCTTGAAGATCGGGACATTTGGGCCATCGAAAACAAACAATGGACGGATTTTGTAGAAGAGTAGTTTGGAGAGGCGTCTCAATACCAGCGACAGATGTGGACATTTTGCACCTGGCTGATAATCCATGTAACCATGTGCTGCCTGATGAAGCCAAATGGAGATATCTGAAAGTTCACTAGTAATCAACGTTATCATCATAAAAAATAAATATCCATAATCATAATCATTGTTTTGTAGTAATTAATATTATAATAATTACCATCATCAACTATGACACTAAATACCTATGTATTAAAATCTTTCGTTTTACCATTACCTTCACCAACATCGTTATCTTCAAACATTGATTTGAATAACAATAATAAGCAAATAAAATAAAATATAGATGTCATTAAGTTGGCAAATTTCCAAAAAAAGTACTTCTATTTCGATTTCTTGTGTACGATATAACCAAATTAATGCATGCCAGAAAGAAGAGCTGGACTGGTTATGTGGCAAGAATGAGAGAAAACTGATGGACAAAGAGGATTATCAGATGATAATTATGCAAAAAAACGCAGCAAAGACAGACAGTATGGTGACAGGATCCGCATGAATTATACAGGATGTAAAACGAGCAAAACACAGAAGAATGGAGAAGTTGCCAGTTGCACCAGTCGCTAAAAGACTGATGGTGAAACAAGAGCTGATCAAAGCGTCAAATATGCAATTTATATAATAGTGTTATTAGTAAGTTAATTACCTTATTATTATGAGCTGTGAGTATTAATTCTGAATACATTCCAAAAGACATCTTGAAAAGTCTAAGCTTTGCTAAGTGCTACTTTTAAGGAAATCGCAAAAATCGTAATTTCTTCAAGAAATGCACCGAACATAAGGAAATCCAGAAGGCTTACCACCAGGAAACAGTAATAATCGAAGAAACTATAGAAAAAAATGTTAGTTTCATGGCTGGAGACACAGATTACGAATCATTAGTGCCACATAATAATTGCTTTTTGCTTAATAATTCACAACTCAAGTACTTCAAAATAATGTATTACCTCTTCCAGTGTTATTTCGCAAATTACCTTTGTACTAAATTTGGAAAGCCCATCTCCATTAAGATGAGGTACTGTTTGTGCTTTAATTTCTTGCATATATAAGTTAACCTTTTCGCTTTCCGGAGATTCAAAATTTGTGGACTATGGCCGTTCTATATTTTCCACAGTTCGGACTGGCTATTTACTTCAGAAATTACGGTTCTGCCTACCAAAGGCAGCAAATTATTTATCAATTTAACCTATTTAAGATTGGAAAGAAGATATCAAGAAGAAAACAAAGAAAAGGAGGAAAAGGATAATAAAATGGAAAAGGAATCTATAAAAATATTTGTAATAGGTAAGGAATGTTTATCAACTTAACCCATTCCGGTCGCTCCACTTCGACCGTCCGCTTATGATTCGGCTTTCTAATGGCTGTTACTAATCATCCACATTCACACAACTCACCATCGCCGTCTACTGAAAGCGGCGTTCTCAGGAGCTTCGGCTCTCCAGAACCTCCATCCTCTCCTTCTCCCCTTCATTTCTCCCCTCTTTTGTGTT